AAAAGAAAGAAAACTAAACTTCTGAGAAATTCAGACATGAGGTATATTCTATCCAGCTATGTCTATTATAATTTTCAGTCACAGTAAACTTTAGAACTTAAATATTACATAGCTTACATAATTCAAGTCCACACTCTTTCAATGAACTATCACTTTTATCTAAATATATGAAGGTCATCACCTTCAGAAAAATTAAAAATGTTAAAGTACATTATGGTCTATCAAAAAATATAAAGATAAGAACAAAAACAACCAAAACACACACAAACAGGTAGACAAATAACACCACTTTGCTAATGGGAAAGACTAAAGTCAGCATAGTTAAGATATTATTTTGGGTGTTATATAAACAATGATGCCTATTTTAGTCTTGTCAAATGCTTAAAATAACCCTGGAATCTTTGTTTATTAAATAGGTTAGCTTGCGGACTCACTTTAAGAGCAAGGCTCACACTTGCTTGGGAATCATCTTGTTCCTGAAATGTAGTAAAGAAAAACAAAAACAAAAAATACTAACTGGCATGCAGGTGATGTGTTTGTATACCTTAGTTTACTTCCTCATAATGCATAAAAGTAACCCAGCTCTCTGGAATACCTCACAGGAGAGCACCATTAGCTTCCTAGCCGGTTCTCAGCTTTCTGAATAAGCAACTGGTCGAGGCGATCCCAAAGGACACTAAGTCTGCTGCAGCAGACTTTCTAACCAACCCACTTCAGGTAAAGACTTCTGAACCTCTTCCATGACCCATTTTCTCTGTTCCTTCTATATCCAAAGAGCAAACCTATATAAAAGTGCCAGAAGGAAAAGAAACATGAAAAATAAAAAGTAAAAACAACCTAGAGGAATAAAAGAAACATGCAAAAAATTGAGTGGGACTCAAATCTCCAAACTTGTACAGGCCAGTTTCGAAAAAGCTTCAAGACAGATTAGGACACTTGAACTCAATGGGCCTCAATTTCCCCACTTTGCAAAAAGGGAACTGGATTAGATCCCTAAGTGATTCCCATCAGCCTAATTCAGGAGTATTCAAACTCTGTATGCATATATTATCAGTATAAGGATAAGCAAAAATAATTTCATTCATGAAAACAGCCATGATCAGCTTTTAATACACTTTTTGGGTTACTGAAACCCCCACAAAAGTATGTATCTTCTTTAAAAAAAGAGGCCTTTTCTTGTTTTAAGAACAAAAGCTCAGTGACCATGATTGCTATTTTTAAACCTACACATCCCTGGAACTGAAATTTTACTTGGTAAAGCCAATATCAATTTTGCCAAACCTCACTCTGTCTGAACATGACTCTTTCAACGCACAGATAGGAAGCAGACACCAGTGCTGACTGACCATGCCCAAGAGGAAGTGACTTAATAGGACAGGAAATCAAACAGATCACAAAATATCAACCCCACCCCTGGGGGGAGAAGGAAGTCCTAAAAATAAATGACACTAGGCATGAGGACTAGATTAGAAAGAAACCCCCTTGAGTTTCCACCAATTATGTTAGGACGGTATCTCATAGTAGGTATCAACTGTGTGAAGTTTATGCTAGTGTTTAGATTTTTGATGAGAGATCAATCATTTCTTTTTTTAAAAGTGTTCATCCCACAGTTGGGTACAGCGGCTCAAGCCTGTAATCCCAGCACTTTGGGAGGCCAAGGTAAGAGGATCACTTAAGCCCAGGAGTTGGCAACAAATCAAGACCCAGACTCTATTTAAAAAAAAAAATCAAGTGGGCACAGTGGCACATGCCTGTAGTCCCAGCTTCTTAGGAGGCTGAGGTAGGAGGATTGCTTGAACCCAGGAGATGGAGGCTGCATTGAGTCATGATCGTGACACAGCACTCCAGCCTGGCACACCAGCCTTGGCAACAGAACGAGACCCTATCTGCCACAACAACAACAAAAAAGCATTCATCTACCATTTACTTGCTTACTACACTGCAGGCTATAACTATCTCCCATGCTTGAAAACTAAAAGAAAGGATAATCACAAAGCAAACCAAAAAATGGTTCCAGTTTACTTTATAAATATTTGGTATACATACTAAAAATGTAAACTCTGCTTGGTAAACATCTGCAACCACTACAACTTACCTGCATTATAACACAAATCTCATAATGCAAAAGGAACTGGCTCCCAGATTTTATTCTGAGACGTTCCTATATCTAACAAGACTTTTTAAAAATCAGCATACCCGTTTCATCTTATTCTGAGAGGCCCTTAAAATTTGTCAAAGGGGTTAAAATTCTTTCACAGAAATCTTGATGAGTAAAGGATTGATGGTCTGAATGTATGCATTAAAGAAATAGGGTCATGTCAGCATAAATATGAATATACAGGTGAAAGCAGTTTGAAAGGAAATGTGTCAGGTTTAAACTAACTCCTTTGTAAAAATATTAAAATACTGGCATTTTTTTATTTGATACTATACGTTCCTTCATAAACTTTTCATCCCCCACCCAAATAGTCTGAATTAGTAACAACTAACATTATGTAGGTCTTCACAATTTACAAAGTACTTTGACATACATGATCTCATTCAAGACTCACCACTAAATAAGAAGGCACTATTTTTAGGTTCCATTTTTACTTGTGAGGAAGCTAACTGCTAAATGGCTGACTTGCCCAAACCTATAAAGCTGGTGATAAAGGTGACTAGGGCTTGAACACAGACCTCTTGAATTTAAATGGTTTGTACCATGCTGCCTCAAATATTGTGATCAGAGCAAATAAATGTCCACATCTCTAGACCCCATCTAAGCCTCCCCCACTTACACACACAGCCACCGATGCCCTAAGTTACAGTTAGCTCTCTAGAAGGTCTTTGCTCTTTCTGGAAGCAAAGTTTTCTTCATTTGTTTAGGAAACATTTATCTGGCTAAAGTGTTAAACACCATTTGACAAACACTAGAAAATATCTTAGTCACCAAAGGTCTTGCACAGGCATGCCCATGTGCATTTTTCCAGGTAGTGGGTCAGATTCTCAAAGAGTTTATGATCCAAAAATGGTGAAGAACCTAGGCTAGAGGCAGTGGCTGGGCGTCTTTCCAAGAACCCAAATCCACAAAGTTCTTAAGTTTATGGTTTAAACCTCACACTGTACCACACCTTCACTTTTGCCTCCCCTGCTGCAGGACTTCTCCTAGGGCCAATAGGATCAATTCAGTACCTACAACTGTTTTTTAAATCATATATAAAACCTGGAACAATTGATAGTATATAAATAATCAATGACTTTTAAAAATAAATTTAAATCAAAATAATTACCTCTTAAAATGTAATCCTTAACACATACTTCTTTCTTTTAGGACTTAAATTACCAGAATGAACAGTTTATTATAAGCATTTCAACCCCCAAAAAGTTTCATAAATACAACTACTCTGAACTCCTAAAATACCCCCTTCACTAAGAACCCTCTAGATGACAAAGAAGACAAGGTAGCATGCAAGGAATTCTGAATCTGTTAGGCAGTTCACTCAACCATCATACCAAAAGAATTTAGAATTTTTTGCTGGGGGAGGGAAGTAAAAAGAGTGGGAGAAAGAATGAAAGCAGCCCTATTGTCTTATTGCCTGAGAATTCCTAATTTGAATCTATAACATATTCCTACTAACCACTCGACTTGAATATCAGAAGTACAGTCTCTTTTCATCTTAAATAGAGCTGTTGAGTCCAAATTTGTATAAACAAACTTTGTCCTTCAATCTTTCAACTCCTCGGCAATTTTTCAAGGTCACTTTTGCAAGCAACGACAGAGGCCTGCATCCAGGAACTTTGACTTGCTATATCATTCCAATTCCAAAAACCCCAAATCTAAGTCCTGTCAGTCCTCTCAGGTAAATCCTTTTTTAGAGGGGAAGCTACAGAAGGCAAATCAACACCCTCGAAACTTCTCTAATAGGGCCTTCTCCTTCTCCCTACCCAGAGACTGAGTGCTGCTGGCTCACGGCTCCACACTGAGTCTGCTGCAGAAATGTTCCAATGACCTTCATTCCGTATTTGCAAATAAAAAGAAAACAAAGAATTGCTTTTTAAAATCAGGTTATTACAGATCCTAGTATGTGGGATTGAAGATTTCACTGTTCATAAGAACTGGCTGGTTACTGATTAGCAACTTACATTACCTTTATATCACTAAAGAGAAATATATATATATATTATATATATAAATATTATATATATAATATATATATATATCAAGGGCAAAAGACAGGGTGCCTATACTTTTAACTTTCCTATTCACAAACTGCAGGATTTTAAATATTTCATATGGAAAAATGAAAAGCACTTTGCTCATATCATTTTAAAGAACTAAATTAACACCTGACAAAATGTGTGAAATCTGTGGAAAAAGATTTGCTCTTGTCACTGTCAATATAAGTGAAAATGTTTCTCACCAGCATTCTAAGCTAAAATGTGCATTAAAAACAAAGATTGTTACTACATTAATTAGTACTTATAAGAATCTAGAGCTAGACAGGTAAATCAAGAAAGTTATGGGAAATTTTCACATTGGCATGTGGGCCTTTACCATTAGAACCTGCAGCAGTGCAAATCATATTTTCACACAAATTTCTAACAGCGACAGTGTTGCTTCCATCTCTGAAAACACAGATGTCAACAAAGTGCGTGGAAATAGAAAAACTCTTAAAACAACTCAGCTTATTCCGTAGGAAAGCTTCAGTGCACTTGAACAAAGGAAAATTATTTGGAAAACAGTTAAGTTTACCCAATGCAAAGAGAAAAGTGCTTTGCTTCTGTGTGCCCCTGAAAAACGATTAGCCTTTCTCCATGTACCTGATCTTGTCGATACCCAACTAGGAAAGAAATCCTAGTTGAAGGACATGCAACATCTAAACACAGCAAGGTATTCTAGGTGCACCAAAAGGTATGCATGGAATGTAAAGTGGCCATTTTCTGAACAGTGCAACTTGTCTACACTCTCTGAGGCTAAACAGTTTCTATCATTTCAACACAAAACAAAGAATTAAACTTACCGGGAACTGCATTAATTTTACATGTAGTTATTTATACCTCCTCGGACTGGGAGAATTTAAGTCACTCCTATCCCTCCCCCCCAAAGGACGGAGGAAACAAAAGGCAGCAGGAGATGCAGAAACCTGAGTCTGGAATGTCCACTCCAGTAAAAACCCGAACAGCTGTCCTCCCACCCCCCAACAAACTATTCGCCATTTTTCTTTGTCTTTCAGCTGACCCCTGCCTCAGTGAAAAACTCCGAGGCTCCAATGAAGCCCTGCAGCCTCCTTCCACTTTAACAGTCAAAGGCATTCAATCTAGCATGCTATTTGACACCAAACCTTGCCTCCACAGTAGTCCCATTGGCTGAACTGCTTTATTGGCTAAGAACACAAAGCCACGATTGGCTGTTCACGTCATCAGTTACCTCTTTTGTACACTTCCTGTTTTAAAGTTACCTTGAGAAGCAGAACAGGGGTCAGATTCAGACTTCAAACTATGGGGAACTCTAAGGTGTGGAAATGCCCAGCAGATGCACATAGCAGTTGCACTAGGACATCATGTGCTTCTAAAACAGAATACTGAAAATTTATAATTGTTCTTAAAAACAAGCCAAAGGGTTGTTACTGTTCCCACCCACGGGATTTCTTATTGGCTGTCAGAGTTCCATTTAAAAAATTTAAGGTAATTTAACTGCTTCTGATTGGCCATCAAAGATGTCTGTAAGATATTGCTATGGTAGCCTATGGCAATAGATCAGAGAAGCAATGTGCACAAGGTCGGAAAGTTGTGAACGTCTTCAGTTTTCTGTTGAGCATTAACAGAAGAAGAAAAAGAAAACTAGGTACGGCTAATCCAAAGAAAATGCAGCTTCTTTAACACTAACAAAGAATGATGCCAATGGTCATACGATAGTTTGCAAGATTTCTAAAAGGCATCTGTCATTATGTTAGTGGCACTTTAAAAGCACAGATTGGTATCAAGGCAAAGCACTTTATTTTAAAACACAAACTAAATAGGAAAAGTTTAAGGTAATGTATGAAGTCAATGGTAGGAACAGTGGCATTTCCAGAAAGTCAACCAGGAACCCAAGAAGGAAATAAAATGATAAAGGGGGGGGAGGGGGAATGACAAAGAAGTTAGAAATCAATGAATACAATCATCCCTTGGTATCCATGGGAGACTGGTTCCAGGATACTCCCCAGCCAACCCTCTCATGGATACCAAAATCCGTGGGTGCTCAAGTCCCTAATATAAAATGGTCTAGTACTTGCATAAAACCCTTGCACATTCCCATGTATACTTTTTTTTAAGAGATGGTGTCTCACTATGTTGCTAGGCTAGAATGCAGTGGCTATGCCGGCATAATCAGGGCACTACAGCTTCGAACTCCTGAGCTCAAGCAATCCTCCCACCGCAGCCTCCAAAGTAGGTGAAACCACAGATGCATGTCACCTTGCCCAGCTTGTTATATACGTTAAATCATCACTAGGTTATGTATAATACCTAGTAAAATGTAAATGCTATGTATGTAGTTGTTATACTGTATTGCTTAGAAAATAATAACAAGGAAAAAAGTCTGAACATGTTCTGTACAGACATAATTTTTAAAAAATATTTTTTACCCACGGTTGGCTGAATCCATAGATGCAGAGGGCTGATGATGTATTATTAAAAGCACATTATAATTTGATGAACTAACTAATTTATTTAGGGCAGTCACAGAGTTTGACATCAGAGAGGATAAATTCTTTCTTTCTTTTTTAAGATAGGCTCTGGCTCTGTCATCCAAGCTGGGTGTTGCTGGGGTATAGAGGCATGATCTTGGCTCACTGCAGCCTCTGCCTCCTGGGCTCAAGCAATCTTCCCACCTCAGCCTCCTGAGTAGCTAGGACTACAGACATGTGCTACCTTGCCCAGCTAATTTTTGTATTTCTTTTCTTTTTTTTCTTAATTGATAGAGAGGGGCTCTCATCATGTTGCCCAAGCTGGTCTGGAACTCCTGGGCTGAAGGAGTCCTCCTGTCCCTGCCTCCCAACGTGCTGGGATTATAGGTATGAACCACTGTGCTAGCTGAGGACAAATATTTTTCTCCCTTTGTTTTGTTTTTTTTTTTTTTTTTTTGAGATGAGTTTCACTCTGTTGCCTAGACTGGAGTGCAGTGGCGCAATCTTGACTCACTGCAACCTCCACCTCCTGGGTTCAAGTAATCCTACTGAGTAGCTGGGACTACAGGTACCCACCACCACGCCTGGCTAATTTTTGTATTAGTAAAGACAGCATTTGACCATTTAGGCTGACCTTGAACTCCTGACTTCAAATGGTCCACCTGCCTTGGCCTTCCAGCGCTGGGATTACAGGTGTGAGCCACCGCACCCCACCCTTCTACCATATCTTCTTCTTCTTTTTGTTTTTAGACAGAGTCTTCCTCTATCACCTAGGCTAGAGTGCAGTGGCACAATCTTGGCTCACTGGAACCTCCACCTCCCAAGTTCAAGCGATTCTCCTGCCTCAGCCTCCCAAATAGCTGAGATTACAGGTGTACACAACCACGCCCAGCTAATTTTCATGGTTTTAATAGAGACAAGGTTTCACCACATTGGCCAGGCTAGTCTCAAACTCCTGACCTCAGGTGATCCGCCCACCTGCCTCAGCCTCCCAAAGGGCTGGGATTACAGGCATGAGCCACCATGCCCAGCCCCATATTTTTAAGGATAAGCACAGCAGAGTTGATCTCAGTAGAGATATTATAAGTATTCTTACTTGTCTCACTGTGGTTACTGAAAACATTCCAGGGTACTGAAGTCTACCAGTGGTAGTCAAAGATTTTTTTATGGATTTTGGACCAACTGTTTAGGTTTTTTAAGAGGTAGCTCCTAACATGGTAAAAATCAATCAGTATGTTTTTCTTTTTTTTGCAAAACATTCAAATACAAACATCTTACCATTCATTACCTGAGGCCTTTAACAATCTTCTTGCATCTGCTTCCTCCCATCAAAGCTAAACATCCTATTACTGAAAAACATAGTTGTTTTGCTAGGTAGATGAGATCTTTTCTAGAAATTCCTGATTTGACCATACATGAGAATTCATCCCTGCAGAGATTTAGTAGGGACCCGAAATAGAAGCAAGGTGGTCTGTCCTATCACTTTGCCATTCTCTACATACATTCCATTCATTTCCCATGATGAAATGAAATCATTTCTGAACACCAACTAGTGCCAGGTTCTGTGCTAGGCATATTACAGACTCTACCCCTCTAATTCTCATTACAATTCCCTGTTACCTGTGAGAAAGAGGTTCAAAGAAGTTAAAAAACTCACCCCTAACCATACATTTAGATTCAATCTACGGTCCCACCTAGAGTGGTACTCTTTCCACTGCACCACACTGCTTACCAAGACATGGAGCACCTCAGGGCACATCCAGGGAAATTCTTAGGTGCCATATATATGCGTGTGTAGATAGCATAACCATTATCCAACTTCAACAAATTTAAAAATTAAAAATCTAGGCCAGGTGTGGTGGCTCATGCCTGTAATCCCAGCATTTTGGGAGGCCACGGAAGGAAGATTACTCGAGCTCGGGGATTTGTGACCGGCCTGGGTAACATAGTAAGACCCCATCTTTTTTACTTTTTTTTTTTTGAGACAAAGTTTCGCTCTTGTTGCCCAGGCAGCATAATGGTGCAATCTCGGCTCACTGCAACTTCTACCTCCCAGGTTCAAGCAATTCTCCCACCTCAGCCTCCCAAGTAGCTGAAACTGGAGGCATGCGCCATCACATCCGGCTAATTTTGTATTTTTAGTAGAGATGGGGTTTCTCCATGTTGGTCAAGCTGGTCTTGAACTCCCAACCTCAGGTGATCTGCCCGCCTCAGCCTCCCAAAGTGCTGTGATTAGAGGCATGAGCCACCACGCCCAGCTGCAAGACCCCATCTTTACAAAAAACACAAAAATTAGCTAGGTGTAATGGCATGTGCCTGTGGTCCCAGTTACTTTGGAAACTGAGACAGGAGGATCACTTGAGCCCAGGAGGTCGAGGCTGCAATGAGCCGTTACTGTCCCACTGCTGCACTCCAGCCTGGGTGACAGAGTAAGACTCTATCTCAAATACGTAAACAAATAAATAAATATTAAAATTTAAAATCTGATTGTTAAATTTGATCTGCCAGTTACAGACCTAGCTAAATATTGACAAAATAGTACCCTGTAAGTTGTTACAAATTTTGCTACTAAATTATTAGAAACATTTATCCAGTAACAAACCACATTTATAAGGACATGAAACAACTACAACTAAATAAATCATTAACAAGAGTACACTGTTAAAATTTGAAGGGGTTGTGAGACAATTTCACAATGACATCCAAATAAAGAGTTTGGTATGTTAACAGGATGTGTTACAGGTACAGTAATTCTTTTCTCAAAAGTTTGCAGATTCTGAATAGCTATTCCCAGCCTGGGAAGAAAAGGCAGAAGGCCAACAAGCTAGTTGTTGGCCTTACCTGTACTGGAGTTTCTCTTAACCCCAGAACACCTGAGGGCCAGTCAGCTGACAACGCAAAGAAGCTCATCTGAAGGGTGGAAATGGGAGGCAGAAGAATAGGGAGAACACGTTCATAATCTTGCTGATTCTTAGTGCCAATATGGCAAAACAACTAAGCACTTGGAAGTCAGGCAGTGTTGGTTTCAAATTCTGACTCTACTTATTAATTATATGACACTGAACTAACCCTGAGCCTCAGTTTCCTCAACTATAATGTATAGATATCACCATGTATATCAGAGAGCCACTGTAAGGATTTAACAAGCTAATATATGTAAAGCATATTGTACTATGCCTGAATAAGCACTGAAAAAATGGAAAATATTAAATGTCATCCAATTCAACCTCCTTGATTTACAGAAGGTTAAGTTTCAGAGAGGGAAAAGACCTGCTTAAGGCCCTAACGCTACTTTGAGGAAATACCTCTCTTCTATCTCTAGCACACTCTGCAGTCCTGCAGAAAGCAATTCCTTAGCCATAAAGGACAGTATGGGAAGACTGCCAGGTGCCATAAAATTCTCCAGTTTTTATGCTGAAAACCCATGCTTTTCACCACTAATCGCAGCGAACATCTCATCACTATTCCAAAAGCTGGCCCTTCCACTCTGCACTGGATATACGAGATTAAACCAATCATGACCTCTGACACTCTGTGAAGGTCTTCAGCATCAGTACTTGGCAGTTTGCAAGGAAAACACTTCAACTCTTACTTCTCATCAACACATACCTTAGAACTCAAGCCACACTGGGAAGATAACTCAAATTATTCTTGAATTTCCATTTAGCAGCTGAATCCATTCACTTACTATAGCTTTCTCTTCTCCTGCGTGTCTTTACTGTGGACTAAGAACCTAATGGAACCTCTAGGATTTCAGCTAACATTCTTCCCTGGTTCTGGATCTCAGCAGCCCTCTACACCAGAAAACTGCATCTTCTTACCCTAAAAAACACTCAACTCATAATGAGACAAAACCAGTAACTCTGGTTACATGGTTGAAGCTTCAATACTC